CACACACACACACACACATACACTCACACATACCATACACACACATACCACACACACACACACACACACACACACACACACACACACACACTCACTCACTCACTCACCCACTCACTCATACACACCCTCTTTCAAAAGTGCCGGGTCCAGAGCATGAATATCCACTCAGTTCTATTTTCTGTCTCCCTCCAGGTACCTAAAACTTTTGAATGTTTAAATACGTTCTCCATTTTGCATCTGTCTCTGTTACCTTCATTTTATCTATTTTTGATGAAGATGGGGGGAGTGGGGGGTGGTTGTTGGGGTTTGTTTTTGTTTGTTTGTTGTTGTTTTTTAAAGATCTTGCATCACGTTTTGACTAACTTCACTGCACTATTCACCAAGAAGGGTTGAGATGTTGTTTCTTTAACCAAAAAAACAAAACAAAAACTGTACGCCTTCTATTGTTAGGTTGTGTATTTTGAAGCTTTCAATTAATTCACCCAACTCTTTAATCCATGTCCTTCATCCACAACAACTGCAGCAGCTACAACAATAACAATAAAACAACAACAACAAGTGTCACAACCACAATGACAACAGCAATAATAATAACAACAGCAATAAGTGACACAACAACAACAACAACAACAAAAACAACAACAATAACAACAACAATAACAACAACAACAGCAATAATGATAACAACAGCAATAACTGACACAACAACAACAATAGCAACAACAATAACAACAACAACAACAACAGACACAACATTAACAGACACAACATCAACGACAACAACAACAACAACAACAGACACAACATCAACGACAACTACAATAACAACAACTGACACAACTACAACGACAACCGCAACAACGATAACAACAACTCACCGGCTGTTTAAACACCTTCTCCACAGAAACAGTACGCACTCATTCACGAATGTGCCGCATTCATGATGCAGCGAAGACGCAAGCAAGAGGAAGAAGAGGGAGTAGGAGTAGGGGAAGAAGGAATGGGCGAGAAAAAGGAAGAGAAAACAAAAGAGGATGAGGCCATCATCATCAACGACAGTGACAATCAGGTACTCGTCCAGAGTGAGGTCACCAGTTCAGACACCGCAGAGACGAGACAATAGCAAAAAACCCAAACCTATCTAAGTCCTAAGCGAATCCTGCCTTGTCCAGGAGGAACAGTATTCACTGTCACAACGTCAGTGGTCTTCTCTAAAAGAGAATGTTGTTGTTTTTTAAGTTTTATTTTTTCTTCCTTTTTTGTCAAACAGCACATAGATCAATAATGATCTTTTCTCTCTTCAGATGAATACTTATCATGAAAAACTATAAGTCTTACAAAATACCCAAAAATAAACTGTTGCAAGAACCATCGATACACCATTTATGCAGATGATTGAAAGGGGTCAATAGTAGGATGTACTTTTTTTCATGATATTGTAACTTACTATCTGTTTTAAGTTTCCTCTACACTATATGCCCGTTGTCACATCGATGTGTTTCTCTTTTTTTCAAAGACAAAACCACATGTCGTTTATCATTCATCATCATCATCATCATCATCATCATCATCATCATCATCATCATCATCATCCTCATCATCATCATCATCATCATCATCATCATCATCATCATCATTATCATCATCATAGTCATCATTAGTAAGCTTCAATTTACCTAAGAGGGGCGCAGAAGAAACAAACTCCAATTGAATCGCCTACTGTATGACGATGTGAACAGCGAAGACTTCACCATGAAAAAGCTGGAGCGTGCCATAATACAAATGAAGACAAGAAGTGCTCCTGGACCTGATGATATACCACCATCTTTCCTAAAAGAGCTTGGCCCACTACTCAGTCAATCATTTGCGCAGCAAGTTCAGTGAAACCACAGCCACAATTTAAAAAATCCAGTGGATTCCAAGCCATGTTGGAATCGAAGGATAAGAGGCAGAAGGCCAAGTCAGAGAGATTGAAGGAGACATACGACCAACAACATACAAAGGAGTCAGATGATCAAGAGGAAAATCAGAGGCTCACCATGCAGAGCTACGTACCAGCACCGGAAAGATGTGTATTCTTAGTACTCCAATAAGCAGGAACAAAATATTACATGTCGTTTGGACTAGATTGAGCTAGCGAGACTGCGGTCGGACCATCATTGGAGCCCGAGATTGTATAAAAACTTTGTGAATGAAGAGCTCGGCCCACGTTGCCGAAGATGCAGCCATGAAAAGGAGGATGTCAAACATATGTTTGAATGTCCAGGAACAATGGCAATTCGAATGGGATTATTCGGACAAATGGAGGTGCCTCTAAGTAAACAATGGAGCCGAAAAAGAGCCTCGTTCTCGCTCGAAGATTTCTTCGTGGAGTCCACCAGGCCCATAAGGGAAACAAAAAAAATCGTCATTATCATCATCAAGCGTCAGATCTGCAACAGACATCAGCAATCATGGTTTCCATTCATCAATTTGCTCGGATGCTCTTAAAAAAAGCTACTTTACCCTGTCACCCATCTGTTTAGGTTGCTCGGGTCTACCCCTGCCTCGTTTGCCTTCAATTTTGCCAGTGAGAGCTAGATCTTCAAGACCGTTATGTCTAGTCAGGTGTCCCAAAAACTACGTTTATCTTTTCCTCAGGCCTATTGGGTTTATTTTTATCAGCGAGCAGCCCACGTCGGCTTCTTCAAGTACTATCTCATTTGATTTCTTTTTCTTCCAAGATGATCTTAGCTGTATCATACGAAACGACATTTCTGTTGCTTTTATTTTATTTTCACGGTCTTTTGTGAAATGTCAACCTTCACAGCCATATGGAAGGGTTGACTATACATAACATTTCAGAACTTTCATTTTGGAAAGCATTTTTGGTAGTCATTTGTTTCTATTTCTCAAGATTGGGCTCATTTTATTGAAAATATCCTTCTCCATTGCAATTCTTCTTTTTTATTTTTGTGGAACATTTAGTATTAGATGTTATTATTATATCATATATCCTAGATATTTAAACTGTTAAACTTGTGTTATCTTTTTGCATTTCCTTTTGAGATTATAAATTGGATTTATCTTTTTTTTTTAAATGTCACCACACAGTCTGTTTTCTTCATTTTCAACAATAGCCCTTTAAGTCAACTTTCCGTTACAAGAGTATCAAGAAGCAATTGAAGATCCTTTCCTGAGTCTGCTATTAAAACTGTGTCGTCGACATACCTGACATTATTAATGCTTTTGCCATTCACTTTATGACATGGACAGCCTTCGATTTTTCTAATGATTGTTTCACAGTATATGTTAAATAGGACTGGTGATATAAGACGTTCTTGTCTTGCACCTCTTCGGATCTGCTTATATTCGCTGTATTCTTCATTAATTCTTACAACAGCGTTTTGGTACCAGTAGAAATCCCTGATAATTAATTCATAGATCTTGTTCTTATATGTCTAGCTCTTCCAGCATTATAAATAGCACATCATGTCTAATTTTATCGAAAGCCTTTGGATAAATTACGCAGCATAAATACAGATCTTTCTCTTCTCCTTCTCCTCCTCCTTC